GAGAGAGAGAGAGAGAGAGAGAGAGAGAGAGAGAGAGAGAGAGAGAGAGAGAGAGAGTTATGATAAAATTAATACAATTTTTATTTGCATTAAAAGTGTATAATGTTTTGTAATATATAATAATTTTTGTGCAATTTTGTTGTGAAAGTATAATTAAAAACAACTTATTAAATTTATTAATAAATAAATAACATTGAATTTTATTGTGCATAATACTGTTTTATGCTTATTTTTTAAAATAAATGAATTATACAATAAAAATTATATTGATGTAATGATTACGGTAAACTTTGAGACTTTTAATTACTTTTATCAATAACACTATACTGTATTAGCTGTCTTATTGAGAAAGTTTATTAATTTACATTTTATTAAATGCAAAATATTACTTATAATGAGACTCATGCTATAACGTAAGTGACTTTAATGAAATCAACAAATTATTTTTAATAGATTATTATTTACTTACTGTGCAATGCATACCCGATATAATGATTCATTAATTATAAAAATAAAAATGTGTATATTTATAAATTAAAAATAATTTTTAATAAAATCATAAAACATTCCTTAGACCTTTTTAATTAATTTAAATAATGTTAATGTGCATCTAATATAATCTAGATAATTTATATTATAGAGATTTTTTATTGTGATGAGATTAAAAAATTATATTAACATATTGATAATTATTGATAATTAATAAATATTATTGCAACATACATATTGAATTAATGCATTATTTAAGCTAAAGTACTAATGACTGTGCAGTTAATGTTAAGATTTATTTTTATCCAAAACTAAATAAATTTAAAAAATCAATAAAAATTATAATTAATATACGTATACTGTACAATTATTTACACAATTTGCGTTTTATTTTGTATCAACAATTATGTGCCAAAAGGTTGTACAAAAACTTGGTGGTTTAAGTTATTTAAGTTTTCAGTTTCATTAACAAATTTAACCTGATTCAAATAATCCGTACAAAATTCTATCAATTATTTACTTTAACATGAGTCCATTGTATGTTATAGAGACTAATCAAACGGGGAACTGTATGCAATAATAATAATATTATAATTTATTAGTTTAATTTAATAGTATTTTAAATTTTAAATATAGATAATGGGAATGGGATTAAACCAAAACCGCGAACCACTGGCCTTATTCGTCGTTCACAAACTAACATCCAGGACAATAAACAGCTGACTATCGTAGTGGACAATCACATCAGACATGACCTGGACACTCACATTAATTATTTTGGTATAGTATTACCTAAAAAGGACCAGAGATTGTCACTATACGAGCGAATACAGCACAACACCTATGAATTCCTGCACCAACCGAGTGGTCTATTCTCATATACTTATCACATACTCGTATTGATTCTGGTATTGCTGTGCCTCATAATGACTGTCATGTTGTCTGTCCAGCGATTTGCTATCACATCGTGGAAAATCATGGAAGTGTTAGAGCCGGTGATCTTAGCGTGGTTCGTGTTTGAGTTTGTCATCCGTTTGTGGGCCAGTGGTTGTCGACAGGCATACCAGGGCTGGCGCGGGAAAGTGCGGTATCTACTCAAAATCGAGTCAATCATAGATTTAGTGGTGATTGTGGTGTCGGCGGTGGTGTTGGGCGTCCAGTCTCTCAGCTCATCCGCTGACACGAGTATAGTGTTCGCTGCGGCAGCCCTTCGAGGCTTTCACCGGCTGTTTATAGTCATACGACTGGTGTGGGCGAGGAAGTCCACTTCTGGTGTTGACAGTGCCGTCAGTCCCTTCCGGATGTTTCTGTCTGTCCTGTACTTACAGAGGGAACAGTTGGCTATTATTCTATATATTAGTTTTGTTGTCTTCTTCATGGCTTCATTCCTCATATATTTGGCCGAAACTCAAACAAATAGTCAGTTCGCGACCATAGCTAATGGCATGTGGTGGTCGGTAGGTATCTCTCTTCACTTTTACAAACATACTGTCCATTAAT